GCGCCTCTCTCTGTGTGTGCGCCTCCAAATGAGGGCGCGCGCTCACGGCTCCATAACTGGCTTCAGAAGAGAGATAGAGCCTTCTGATCTTCAGAATACGTACTGTCCCAGAATACTGAAGACGCCCCGAGCCACTAAAACTTCTATTCATCATAACTTGGTTCATTTTTATGCTAGAAAGTTCATCTTACCACCATTCGAACGCTCTCTTCAAGCTTAACACAATGAAAGCCACTTTAGCACATAAAGTAGGCGGGTTTTAAAATGATTATTTTGACAAAAGTATATCAAAAATCAACAGAAAAATTTTGGAGTTTTCGGTCTCCGGATCGGCGGGTCGGGCCGGGCCGGGAAAATGTTTCTCCAGCCCGGGCCGCACGAAAGGGTCGTTTCTCGAGAAATTTCGAGGAATCCATTCCTCGAAAAATTGCTCGAGGTACTTTATTTCTTTAAAAAAAACGAATGTTTTTTCTGCAGTTTCACTAGTTTGCAACAGTTTTGAAATGGTCAGTTCTAAAACGTCGCGGTTTTGAAACGTCGCGGTTCAAAAATGTCGCTGTTCTAAAACGTCGCGGTTCCAAATTTTGAAAAAACACAGAAAATTTTCCTAGAAATTACCGGTAGTTTTCGGTAAATTTACCGGTAAATTACCGGTAATTTTTCCGGTAAAATACCGGTTATGTACCGGTAAAAATTTACCGGTATTTTACCGGTAAATTACCGGTACGTTACCGGTAAAATTACCGGTAAATTCACCGAAACCGTACCGATAGCACACACTGAGCTAGAGTATGCATTCTACCGTCACGGTGTACAACGCTTAATGTCACTCTGCGTACAGCTGTCGTCCTCGCCTTTATGTATGCAATCGGGCGTGCGCTTTCTCTTTGCCCGCGTGGCTCAGTCGGTAGCGGCGCCGCACCCTCAATCATCGCCCTCACAAGTTCAACTCCTCGAGGGGCATCTTTGAACGAAATTTCGAGAACATTATTTTTTTCATCGTCATCAAACAGGAATTTCACCCAAAAACAGTGGATATCACAAGGGGCATCCCGTTCGCAAGCGGAATGAGAGCAGGGCACATGATCGTTATTGTGAACAACCTTATTATCTTTTATATCATATCCGGTTACACACATATTATTGTTCTAGCTTAGTTAAGAGAAACGAGAAAAACAAAAGTGCACAAAGACTTAGTTGCCAACCTAATATTTACCAGTCATTGTATTTTCAAGCTTTTCAAAAATTGTGCGGACTGACAGACAAATATCCATACTTGCAAAATCAGAGCCCGGCGCGGAAAAACCGACTCAAAAAAATTAAAATTTGGAGCCCGGTCCGGGACGGGGCTCTCCAAATTTTAATTTTTTTTGAAGTTTCAGAATTTTTCAAATTTTTCTGTGACAAAATTATTGTTTATGAACACTCTTATTTTAAAAATTTTTTCTACTTGACAGAAAAATCGTCCATTTTTCCTATGGACTCCAAAAAATGTTTTGAAAAGGCTGGAAAAAAATTTCAGAAAACCTGAGCCGAGACGGGCCGGGCCTTGAAATTTCTGAAAAAAAGCCCGACCTGGCCTGACCCGGTGCAAGTATGCTAATAACCTGCTAATCATCAAATCTAATACTGAAAAATTAGCTCAGATTCTTCAATGGTGACTTTCAGTAGTTTCTTTTTTTTTTTTGGTTCTATTTGCCCAAGTCAGAATTAGTACAATTAGTCAGCATATTAATTAGTTCAGACGAAACATTGTTTTGAGCAAAAAAATTTTAAAGGTGGGGGGACATGAGAAAAATAATGTTGTCGAAATCCCGTTTAAATATGCTCCTCAAGGAGTTGAACTTGTCGAGACAAGTATTGAAGGTGCGGCGCCGCTACCGACTGAGCTACGCGTGCAAAGAGAAAGCCGCTGCCCGATTGCATACATAAAGGCGAGGGCGACAGCTGTACGCAGAGTGACATTAAGCGTTGTACACCGTGACGGTAGAATGCATACTCTGACCCCAAAAATCCCCCGTAAAATCTCCTTTCCCCCCACCTTTAATGAAGATTCCTTTTTCTTATTCTTCTATAGATCTATAGATAAGCTTCTATAGATAAGCCAACGTTGCCTTTGATTCTGATACACCGGGAACAAAGTTTTCAAACCAACTTCTTCATCATTTTTGATCGAGCACCTGTGAAGGAGATCGCTCAAACGTTATTCAATTTCTAGCAGTCTGATAGTGAGTTTCTCAGAAAGTTCAATTTTTCATTGCAGATTACCAAACTTTTTTCTTTCACCTGTTGCTCATAGCTCTTCAAATTTTTAGGCTTTCAGGTTGAGTCGGTAACTGTGAAATAAGTTTCCATATTGTATTCAATGGAAATCAACACTCGTGTATACTTCTCAATTGAAAATCCAGATCGTACTTTGCAAATTTATGTTATGCCTGTTATCAGTTCTATATCCTCGATTTTGAACTTTATTTTGTTTTATCTGATATTTCAGAAATCTGAAAAAGAGAGTAAATCGTATAAAAGTGTTCTCTTCTTACATAATGTTAGTGTTTTGATATTTTTCTGAATTTATCACATATTTAGAAAAAATGTCTCTAACTAGATTTGTCATGTTTCAGATTTCTTTGTATTTGTCCCAACTTTATTGGGGATCTGTAATCAACATGGTCTTTCTTCTACCATTCCCTGCTGTATACAGCATTGGTCCACTTAAAAGTGTCATAAACTGTTTCTATCTTACTAGTATATGGTTCTTATTATTTGGATGGTCAGCTCTTATGATGTTCTGGATTTTAATGGTCAGGCTTAGATCTTTGGCAAGGCCCGACAGCATTTTTTTTGTAAGTCTCATTTTTCGCTTGAAATTGTTTCTATTTCTTTTAGATTGGACAAAAACGTTACTACACAATGCTACTTGTTATGTTATTATATGTTATCCTTCCCATTTTCTGTTCTTGGATTCCTGGATATTCATCTGAAGAAAAAACAAAAATTTATGTTGCGAAATATTATCCAAACTGCAATAAGGCATTAGATTTACCAGGAATATTTGTGAATACCAGTCCAGCAGCAATTTTAGCAGTTACTATTGTTAGCTTTGGATTACTAACTACTGGAGGAATCGTATGCTAGTTTTCTTCAAATGTGTTTTATAAGTTTTATTTCAGTTCTACATCACATTATGTTGCATTATCATTTACGAAATTCGTCAGCAAACCTCTACTTGGAGCAGCAGAAAACGGAAGTACCACATAAAAGTTCTTCACGATACTGTAGTGCAGAATGCGGTGAAATGTGTTTTTTTGGCAGTTGCACCTGCAGTTGAGCTTTGGAATATATTCCTAGACCCAGGCACAGATACAATTCGTAAGCATTTGAAAAGCTTAGAAAGAATTTGCAAAAATATGTATTCAGTGCTGACCATGGTTGCAAATGTAATATTTGTGGCTGCCCCCATTCCATGCACTTTGTTAATGTTCTTCCAAAATCGAAGTTACCGAAAATTCTTTGTCGAAACATTCGGATGTTACTTCTGCGTTTCTGGTGCTTCATCAATGCAAGATAATTCAAAAAAAAGTGGTGTTGCAGTTTTCACAATTCAACAAAAAAATTGGCTTTAGCACATGCTCAATAAGTTTTGTGAATGAAAATTTTGATTATTGTCGATTTTTTGAATGAGGAGAACGGGGACTATTATTGCCAGGGACGATAGATATTTGAATGGTTGAACCAACTTTTGGAATCTTTGGTTTGTCACGAAAATGTAACATTGAAATTATGTACCGACGATATGTAGTGTTTTGATAAATAATTGTGATGGCATAAGGAATGGGGGAGGATACAAAGATGGCGTTGATAACAATGGTAGCCGCTGAATTACATATTTTTGAATTTTACTTAATATGAACCTACTAATCGTATCCGCTTCCGGGTCACGGTAGGCATTCAAAATTTGTAAGCAGGGTGTAGTTCCAAGAAAAATACCAAGAATAACAATCTGAAAAATCAAAAATATACAGTTAATTGTCGACCTGCCGAATAATCATCAGCCTGCTCGGAAGATAACCATTGGCCTGCTCGGAATGTCGAAAATTTCAAAGTTTCGGAATTTCGGAATATTCAGATTTTCAAACTTACGGAGTTCCCGGGATTTTTCAAGCAAAAAATTGTCAAACATGATTAGAAAATCCAAAAAAAAACTCTAAAAGTGATTCCACTTAAGACCCACAAGCTTTTTGTGTGCGCCTTTGACAGTATGCACTACGTTCAGTAGTCCCACAGTAATCCAAAAACATTTGATTCCGAAAAAGGTTTTAAAAATTTCCGATCGGAATTCAGTTCCGGAAAAAGCTTCATGGGAATTTCATTCCAAAAATAGTCACAATTTTCGAAATTCCGATTCTCTGCTCCGAACATCCCTAATAAACCTTGGGTTTCATGATATTACCTGTACTATGGTGTCCTTCAACGCTTTTCTATGGTACTTCAAGACGGTCGAACTCAATGTCCGACACTGTTGACGAATTTCATATAGAATGGCTTGACAAAGAAAAACATATAACTGAAATTAAATTTGAGACTTCAATTTTTCATCAGAAAAATTAATGTTCACTTACACAGCCAGCAGTAGAAATCAATCCAACAGCTACAATTATTATTCTCCGAAACTTCCAGGCATCCGTATAAATGAAAACTCCGAGAATATCGAGTACTTTCAGAGTATTTGGATAATAAGTTTTTACAAAATTCTGGGTTTCAATAGGTGTTGAACCTGATGAAATCCAACAAAATGGCATCGGAACCAAAATGTATAGAGAGAGGGTAAAGGTGAAAATGTAATAAAACTTATCATTGAACTGAAAAATAGTATTTCCTAATCAAAAAGCCAATAAAATAACTTACATGAAATATACTGTTGTGTCTAGCGATTGCACGAAGTCTGACAATGGACACAAGGAAAATAGTAAGAACTGTGATACCAAATAAAAATATCCAAATTATCTGAAATTCATAAAACCGAGATTGGATTTGACTCTTCACGCTCTCCCACAGAACATTTCCGAACTGCAAATTAATTTTTGATCTACAGAAAAAAAAAGTTTGGCGCGATCACAATTGCAGGTCTAAAACCATAATTTCAGAATTTTTTATCTGATTTTGTGGAGTTCCAAGATGATTCAAATGATTCTTAAAAAATTAATTAGTGGTTATAGATTCATGTATGGTCGTTTTCCGGAAGAAAAAATGTCAAAAATGGTCATTTTTGAGAGTTTTTTACAGAAAAATCTATCTCCTCTTTCAGTTTTTGACATTTCTAGAAGTTCTATAGCTCACAAAAAACCGCAATTATTTTCTCTACATTTTTTATGGACGAATTTTTAATTCGTCTGATAAAACTTTTTTTTATAATTCAAAAACCTCACGAAATTGCACAAAATCGCATTTTTGCGTTATTTTTTGATGATAAAAAAAGTTTTATCAGACGAATTAAAAATTCATCCATA